TTTTTTATTTTTTTTTTTTAAGATCCACAACCAAAGCTAAATATACTTCCAATCTTATTTTATTATAATTATTTGTTTAAAAAAAAAAAAAAAAAAAAAAAAAAAAAAACAAAACAAAACAAAACAAGGCACAAACATCACATCAGAGTAGGTCCCACATTCCCATTAGAACTATTAGAGCTCCTATATTAGAGCTCTAAAGCATTTTTGTTTAATGTTAACACCATTGTCATGGAATATATGCATGCAAGGCTAAATATGTAAACTAATAAACTTTGTGATTAATAAAATGTTAAATTATGTGCGAATGGACGGATCATGAACAATGAACAATGAACAAAGAACAAAGAACATTCCCATACAACAACAGACCATAGTATACGAATCATAAACCTAGGGGCTGGGGCTATATGACCTTGAACTGTTTCAGTTAGCCGCATATGGGACACACAACCCAATGTGAGTGCCTCACACGTGTCTCTTCCATCTGTCAGTCACAACCATTTGTCATTCGAATGCGTTTGGCAATGGATAACTTATATTGTGGGTATCTATGGAGACCTAACCCAAATACATAGGTTTTCTTCTCTTTTTCTTATTTATTAGGTAGAGTACGTGATATTCTTTAAATATTCACAGGGGATGGGTTGGGGATGGGTACCCACTAATTTCCCCAATTTTTTTTTTTTTTTTTTTTTTTTTAAGATTTTTTTTTTTTTTTTTTAAAGATTCACAACCAAAACTAAATATACATTCAATCTTTTTTCTTTTATTTATTTATTTATTTTTTCAGGTTCATAACCATTTTTTTTTTTAAGATCCATAACCAAAGCTAAATATACCTCCAATCTTTTTATTTTTTTTATTTTTAAGGTTCACAACCATTTTTTTTTTAATTCTTAAGATTCACAACCAAAACTAAATATACATTCAATCTTTTTTCTTTTATTTTTTTTTTAATTTTTTTTAAGGTTCACAACTAATTTTTTTTTTTTTTTTTTTTTTAAAGATTCACAACCAAAGCTAAATATACATTCAATCTTATTTTATTTTATTTGGCTCAACAATAAAATCAAATACACATTAATTAACATTGTCACATTATTCTTGTCAAATTTTATGCATATCTAGAATTTTTTAAATTTATTTAAAAAAATTAAGGACACTGTCTAATGTAGGTTTCAGTTTGCTTTTCTATGTTATTTTATTTTGTTATGTATTGTAATTTTCAAAATGGTTTGCTTGTTCTAAAATTTCAATTAACGAGTATGAATCTATTTCTTTTATGTTATCACATAATTTATACAACATATATATATATATATATGAATGTATTTGAAAATAAGAAAATTGTAGAGAATCAAAATAAGCATGAGTCGTGATTGGTTAGAAATGATGGGTACAAAGATTTATTTGCTAGAAAAACAAAAAGGGGATACAAAGTCTTACTAAATAATTTTTTTTAAATTAAAAGAATTTTTCTTAGTTATGAACAGATTTAACTGAAATCAACTTATTTCCCAATGTTATGCTTCATTTATTTAGATAGAAAATATTTTTTAATGAAAAATATTTTTTATAAAAAAAATTAAAAATATATTTTTTTATATTTGGTGGTGGTGGTGATGGAACGAAGGTGAAAGTAAAGATTGTTACATAGTGGTGGGGTGATGGCGGCAGTGATGATTGTAGTGGCTATGGTGATGGTAGTGTGACAGTGAAAGTGAGAATAGTGGTGATGGTATATTGAAATTAGTAAAAATTTAATTGAAAAAACATTTTTTGTTTTTTAAAAGTAACAAACAACAAAATTCGTGAGGGACTAAAGGAAGAAGATGGAGGATGGATTGGGTGTGGTAATGCATAGATATCTTAAAATGAGTGGTTCAGATTTGTTAAAGGTATAATTAGATTTTAGATAAATTAAAATGAATGGTTCAAATTTGCTAAGAGAAATATGGTTTAATGTCTAAAATATCCGTGGCTAAGAGATCAACAAACAATTCCTTATTTATGCCCTGATGCAATTTAATATGAGTCTTATAACACTTTCTTCAAACAGGTTCTTTCACATTTTTTTCTTCAAACAGGCTCTTATAACATTATAATCAGATTCTTATAACATGTAAGGGAGAGAGTTAGAGTGAGAGTGAGAGTGAGAGAGAGAGAGAGATGGTTGCAATTTTTTTTTAATCTTCCACGTTCTTCCACATTTTTTTTTAATTACTAAAACTTATTTGATTGTCTCAAAATTATATATTTGATTATTACAAAACAAACATTTTAATTAATTAATTAATGTGTATTTGATTTTGTTGTTGAACCAAATAAAAAAAATAATATTGAATGTATATTTAGCTTTTGTTGTGAACCTTAGAAAATTAAAAAATAAATAAATAAATAAGTTGTTAACATTAAATATATTAAAAAAGAAAGAAAAAAGATTGAAGGTATATTTAGCTAAAACCTTTATAAAAAAAGAAAAAAAAGAAGGTTGTTAACATTAAATATATTAAAAAAGAAAGAAAAAAGATTGAAGGTATGTTTAACTTTTATTGTGAACCTTAAAAAAAAATAATAATAAAATAAAAATTGTTAACATTAAATATATTAAAAAAGAAAGAAAAAAGATTGAAGGTATATTTAGTTTTTGTTGTGAACCTTAAAAAAAAAAAAAAAAAAAAAAAAAAAAAGGTGGTTGTTAACATTAAATATAAAAAATAAAAATGGGAATTAAAGTGGATTGGGGAAAATCCATACCCATTAAAAAATGGGGAGGGTGGTACCCATAGGGAATGGGGAATAGGGAATGGAGAAAATTTATTATAGGGGAATGGGGATGGAGAATTAATATCCACCCCATTGCCCCCTATTGGCATTCTTAGTTTTGGAAAAATGTTTGAGTGCTCTAAATTGGGAGCACTAAAGGAGCTCTAGAGAGTGAGTTTCACTGATTGATGTGATGTTTTGGCCTTAAATTTTTTTTTTCTTTTTTTTTTTAATTTTCACCTCATTAGTGGTCCATTAGTTCTCTCAAATTAGTGAAATGTATCATTATTGTGTGTTTTGTGAGGTTATTATTATCAATCTAACTTTTTCAGCATAAACATGAAAGCTTTAAAAAAAAAAACATAAATGGTTCAAAATATTAAAAGAAGACTTCTAGTGGATTTTATAATTGAGTTCAATTTATTTCATAGATTAGAGAAATTAAGAAAAAAAATTTAATAATCTATATTTATTGTAAATGTAATTTACGTGCCATTAACTTTAAATATATACTACTCATTTTGAGGTGAGATTTGAAGTAAAATTTTATCCTACATTACATTTTTAAAGTTAAAAAGTGTCTGCTAGGAGATGTTTTATTTATTTATTTATTTATTGGTGAAAAAATTTTACCCTACTTTTCAAAGCTGTTTTTGAGGGGGAAAAAAAAATAAAACTAACAGAGTTTTCCAATATCAAATTGTGAAAATTATTTTTAGTTGTTTTTATTTTTTAGTGATTTTTTAACTTTTAATATGTTTGGAATAATTTTTTAGCTAAATAGTAAATAATTATATTATACGACATTTTGAATTTTTTAACTTCTTATTTTTTGTGACTCTTTTTTATTATTTTTAACCAAAAAAAATTGTCTACCAAACTGAGAATACAAATCACCATGTGTTAGTTCCAAAAAATTGAATCCACTTTTCAGAAAATTAAATTTTTTATTTTTCGTATTTTTTTTATTTTTTAGATACACCTAATCTAAATACGCTTAAAAAATATAATATTTGTGGAAAAAAAAAACTTAAAACAAATTCACCAAATACAAAAAAATATGAAAATTCAATATATGTTCGTATGCTGTTGTATTGAATGAATATTTTAAGGATTTTTATACAAATATTTTACTTTTTAAATATAATAAGATTAAGTGAACTAAATATTTAAAAAATATATATTAAAAATAAAAAATATATAAATTAAAAACTCAAAAAAAAAAATTGAAAATTCAAAACCAAACAAGGTGAGTTGTTTGTGAAATTATTGCTAACAAAATTTCTAACATGCAAAAAATTATTTTCAAATTTTTAAGAATCATTTTTAAAAAATTAAAATTATATAAAAATGATTAGTATTTTCAACCAATTCATTATTTATGAAAAGAAATTTTTTTAAATGAGAGAGAGAGAGATAAAAGGTAAATTTATGAAGCTTTAGAGTGTGTTTGGTTTGGTTTTGGGAGATAAATTTTCAAAAAAAAAAAAAAAATTGGAGAAAGGGTTTAGAATTTTTTTTGATTTGTTTGGTTGTATATTTTGAAAATAGTTTTGTAGTATGAGAGTTTGGGATGTTTTGATATTTTGCTATAGTTAAGTAGATGTGTGTGAGAAAAAAAATGATTAAAAATGAGAAAAAAAATAGAAAAAGTGATTGATTAATGTGTAACAGATAAAAAGTGATTTTAAAAAAAAATTCTAAAATTAATAAACCAAACAAAATTTTAAAAAAATTTCTCTAAAATTTGTCTCTAAAAAACAGACCAAACAAGACCTTAATGCTTCCTGTGATTGCCTTTGGATCTTTTTTGCGCAGCTTAGGTGGAATACGAAGAAAGCCCCGGGAGAATAACATTATTACCTTATTCATAAGGCTACGAATAAGTATTCTTATTGACAAAGTGATTAAGAATAATAAAAGGAGGTATTACCTTTTTTAGGTTCTCATTAATTTGATATTTGATATTTTTAATTTTGCAATTTGATCAAAATTTTATTTTAATTTTTATTAATTTAATTTAAATAATTTAATTTTTACATTTTAAATTCAATTTCAATTTAGTCATTCTATTCAAAAAAAATGTTAAAATTATTAATTTTATGACAAGTGTCAATATCTATACAAATAATTGACGGTAATTTCGACTTAAAAACAAAATTGACGCTCAATTTAAAATGTAGAAAGCAAAATTTTCAAATTAAAGCAATTGTGACAAAGTAAAATTTGAATTAAACTAAAAAACAACTCAACTCTTGATTTCAATTGTCAAAAAAATATTTACATGTTGGGAACGAGAAGGAAAGGGAATGAATCCAACACGCAAACCCATACCCATAACAACCTCTCTCTCATCACCATCATTCCTAAACAAAAATCATAATCAATTTTTTTTTTTTTTGTTAAAAGTAAAATTAAAAGAAAACAAATCTAAGACATCTGATCTGAGTTCTCATCGTGAGTCTCCATGGTCCGTATTTGTACCTGATCGCCACTCCCCAGCTGTTTCGCCTTCTCACTCCGATCATCTCCCTCCGATTTCTCGGCCATTTCTCGGCTGTTCAAGCCGTTGCTTCCGAAAGAAGAGGCTCGGCTCGAGACCGGCGTGGCTAAAAACGTCGGGTTCTTTTGACCCGGCATTATAACCGGAATGGGTTTCTCGTCGGAAACAGTGGCACCGCCGCGGCCGAGCTCGATATCTCCGTCGTCGGTGGCGGAGTTATTAGCGTCGTCTTGTTGTGTCTGGCCGTCGAGGTGGCCGGAGAGCCTCCAGTAAGAGCAGGCGAGGATGAGGAGAGCGAAGGCGATGAGACCCAGCATCGCCGCCAAGCCGCCGAAGAGGTATGGCACCGGTGAGTTCCACGGCGACGCCGTCGGAGCTGCTGCGCTCATCATTTTTCTCTTACTTTGAGCTGAGAGAGATAGAGAGAGATGATGTCGATTAGAGTGGATTGACAAGGCAAAGATGTGTGCAGCCAGCTAACTTATAGGGACAGAAAAAGAAAATACATAAACATTTTCGCAATTTTTAATTTATCATTTATTACATAATTACTCACACTTCTAATGGTTTTTCTTTGTTTGGGGCATATTTTTTTAAGTAACTTTTTGATTTTTTAGTTAAAATGTGATATAAAAAAATTAGTATATTTGTAATGATTTTTTAGTTTTTTACAAAAGTACAAAAAAATAGAGAGAAAATAGAATCTTTAACTTTTTAGTATGAGTTGTTGACTTTTTTATTTTTTTGTAACTTATTAACTTTTTAGCTAAAAAAATCACTTGCCAAACGAGCCTTTAATTTTTTTTTTCCTGCTCTACTATTAAGTAATTCTCCCATTCATAGGAGCAAGAGGGTCTATATATATCACAAGAAAAATTATTAGTTAGTCTTAAGGCACTGTCACGTAGTATTTCAATAGTATTGTGATTAGTGAAGGAGATCAAGCCCACAAATTGGTAGTGAGTGATTAGGAAATAAGAAGGGATATGATAAATTATAATTGGCGAGGAATATAGCCATGTAACGCTCTTAGATTAACCAATAATTTTTCATATACAACAGTTTAAATAAGTAAAATAAAATAAAATATTTATTATATTTTGCAGCATTCAAGCTGTATGGTAATATTTCAGGTTCGAAACTCGAGGGCACACAAGTCTTAAGTCAATGCACTGTACTTCTATCGCAAAGCTTTATAACCCCTGTTGTAGACTAGGTCTGAAATCCACCGTTATCTCTGTGGGGGTTCCTTTTGTGTTAGGTTAAATTTAGCTGTCAATTGACTACTCCGACATCAGAATCTGCGGAAACTATAATGCCCCCACAAAACTTCATTTCTTTTTGTTCAAGAAATAGATGCCACATCATTACTCGTTACTTTAGAACATTATTTTTAATGATTCCTATTATTATTCATATTGTAAATCATATGAGAAGTAAAATTGTATTAATTATTGATATATATATTTGTTATAGTTGTACCGTCATGTCTTAAAATTATTAAGGTTTTGTTTGTCCTCCTTTAAATAAGTTTATTTTTTTATCTTTTTATTTTTTGGTTATATCAATTAATATTTTTTTTTATTTTTCTACATATCTTTTTTATAAAAATTTAAAAAGTGCACTTATTTAGAATATTTTAAACTATTCCTAAATTTTTAATTTTTAATTTTACAAATTTCAAAAGACTTTGTTTCAAATAATATCCCTTTAAATGAAGGGGCTCTAATAAACTCTAATAACATGAAGAAAAAAAAAATAAACAAACAAACATCACTAGCACAATAGGACATATCCCAATTAGAGCTCCTAAAACTCCTTTATTAGAGTTCTAAATGTGCGCACTTATTTAGAATATTTTAAACTATTCCTAAATTTTTAATTTTTAATTTTACAAATTTCAAAAGACTTTGTTTCAAATAATATCCCTTTAAATGAAGGGGCTCTAATAAACTCTAATAACATAAGAAAAAAAAAAATAAACAAACAAACATCCCTAGCACAATAGGACATATCCCAATTAGAGCTCCTAAAACTCCTTTGTTAGAGTTCTAAATGTGCTGGAAACATGTCAATGAGTATGTCTTAATATTTGCTCCATACTTTATTTCAGTGCCATATTATACCCTTTTTTTTTTCTTTTTTTTCTTTTTTTTTTCTTTTTTTTTTGGTGTTATAGTTGTACCACCATGTCTTACAATTATCAAATTTAATGTTACATATTTTAAAAGACTTTATTTTAAAAATATGTCTCTTAATATTTACGCCACACTTTATTTTAATAATCTTACTAATAAGTGCTCTTAGAACACAAGAAAAAGACAAGAAATATTAATCTTGAGACATTTATTATTAAATTCAATATATATTTTTTTACATATTTTAAAACACTATAATCCTTTTACATTTTTCAATATACTTGTTCTTACATTACCCGTATTAACAAGTGACATGGGCACTTATTAACATTTGTCTTGTTATAAATAGTTTTTTATTTTTTTTACGGCAATATGAGGACAGGCCTTTGTGAAACAAACGGGGGCACTTAAGCATACACTCAGCTTTTGTTTGGCAATTTTAGTTTTAGTTTTAATTAAAAAATTAAAAATTATTATAAATTATCATATCACTCACATTATTAGACTTCAAATGACTCAGACCATAAGAATCAGGGGTTGGGCGCCTAACATGGCATTATCATCATTCATCAATTGGCATCTGTGCCCAATGTACAACTACACACCATGCACACAATCAAGAGAAGTTATTGGCTGGTTCACGGACGGGCCACATGGTATTCCATATATGTTATGATTGATAGAGAGAATGTGACTTATAATTTTGTATTGACTAATTGAAAAACATAAGGGTATGGCTTCTGTCCAGTCCAGGATCGGACTGGACTGTGCTGTTGGGCTCGTAGGGACCCATCACGGGTCCTGTTTTGATAATCTAAACCGTTTAATGTGTAGAACTCGTCGAGTACTATTTGTCTGTAAAAAATTACGCTGATCGGATATCGATAGCTATGTGATCAAAACAGTTTTTTATCAACTGTTAATTTGTTCACCGTCCTATTTTTTTAATATGAAACTGATTTGATCATATAGCTATCGATATCCGATCAATGTGACTTTTTACAGACATATAGTATTCGACGAGTTCTACACATTCAACGGTTCAGAATATCAAAACGGAACTCGTGATGAGCCCCCACGGGCCCAACAGCACGATCCAGTACCCAAAACATAAAAAGACATGAAGTTTGTGATTGGCCTAGGATATGCCCACATCACATCCCAGGACCAACTAATAATTTTTCCACAATCAAACTCAATTACTCAAATAAATAGGGACTGATTTGATGAATAAGTTCCCAAACTTAGCCTAAGAAGTGATTAATTTGATGAATAAGATGTTCTTCTGTATGATATTTGAATTCAAAATTTACCACCACATAATGTAATTTCTCATTTCTTTTATTCCCTCTTGATTAGGAAAATAGTAAATAAATCTTGCAAACGGTAATAAGTTAATTTTAAATTTTTTTTTTTCATTTCAGTCCAATCTTTTTAATATTGTGACAAACTTTTTTACTTTTCAATTTTTTTTAGATTATACTAAAACGTTTATACCAAACCAAACCAAGTCTTAAGTCTCATCAAATGGGGTCAACTACATGAATCTTTTTTCTCCACGTGGCCCTATCAAATGTCATTTCGTTGGTCAAATTAAGTAGATTTATATCTTTATTTATAATGCTAGCCAACGTTAATCTAAGTCTACTCGGTTTCCTAACACTACTATCTACCGTCACTACATCGCATCTTTTCACTACTGCCTCTGTTGGTTTTCGTTGAATATGACCAAACTATCTCAATCAATTCTCTCTTAACTCATCTTCTATCGATGCTACTCCTACCCATTCCTGAATACACTCATTCCTAATTTTATCTTGTCTAGTCTTGCCACAAATCCACCTTAGCATCCTCATCTCAGCAATATGTTGTTTCTTGGTTGCCTAACACTTCGTCACATACAACATCGTTGGTCTAATAGACTTTCTATAAAACTTACCTTTTAGTCTAATGGGTATTCGTTTATCGCACAGTACCCCAGACGCACTTCTCCATTTAAGCCATCCCGTCTTAATCATATGGGCCACATCCGCATCAATCTCCCCCCGTGTTTGTGATTATCGACCCTAAATAACGAAAATGTTCACTCTTAAGCAATTCTTGGTTCTTAATCTTCACTTCTTCTCTACTTTCATTATTGTTGTTACTAAATTTACATTCCATGTATTTTGTCTTAGTTTTGCTTATCCGGAATCCTTTAGATTTAAGTGTTTTTTCTCCGAATCTCCAACTTTGTGTTAACTCCTTCTCTAATCTCATATACTAACACGTTATCATCTGCAAAAAGTATACATCATGGCACGTCATCCTGAATATTTCTCGTCAACTCATCCATAACTAAAGCAAAAAGATAAGGACTTAAAGTAGATCATTGGTATAACCCTACAGTGATAGAAAATTTATTTATCTCTCTAGCAGGCGATATAATAGTGGTCACCACCCCTTCATACATGTCCATAATCACATCAATGTAACCTTTTGTCACCCATTTCTTCTTTAACACTCACCATATTATATCCCGAGGCACTCTATCATATGTTTTCTTAAGGTTGATAAACACTAAGAATAGCAACGGGCCAAGGCGGGGCCGAGGATCACACTCCCTATCCCCAATCCCCGAAGCTACAAAATCCCCCGGCCCCTATCCCCGCCCATCACCCCCTGCCCCCGCCCCCCAATGGGGATCGAGTTTCCCCAACCCCAGAAAATCCCCGTAACTCTCTCTCTCTCTCTCTCTCTCTCTCTCTCTCTCTCTCCCTCTCTCTGTTTAGCTTTTCATCATCGACAACATCATCGATCATCAACAACAACATCATCGATCATCGACAACATCATTTTCATCAACAAAAACATCATCAAAAAAAAATAGAGACAGATTTGCCATGGCAGAGGGAGGAGGAGGCGATCAGTTCTATCCATTCTAATCAGGATCTTCTCAGATCTTCTCAGATCTGACGATGGCCTGGCGGAGGAGAAACCAACGGAGGAGAAGGCCGTGAGAGGCGACGGAGGAGGCGGTGGTGGCCTGGAGGATGAGGAGCCGACTGCGTCTGTAGAGAGAAGAGAAGAGAGAGAGAGTGTGAGAGAGAGACAGATCAGAGGTATAATAGAGGGAGGGGGGTTATATATATAAATAGATAGAGTGGTATTAAGGTAATTTTATTTCTAGGAGAAACGGGGCCGGGGACGGGCCGGGTCCAGGGCTTTGAAAATGATCCCCGTCCCTGGCCCGAATTTGATCGAGGATTCAATTTCAAATACCATCCCCGGCCCGTCGGGGGTATTTTTCGAGGAAAAACTACTCTTATCGGGGACGGGGGGTCGAG